GGAATGAAGGAAGAATCAACATCTTTAAATAATGTCCAAATTTTTCGTGACCTCCCAAAGTGCTCAAGCATTCAACAAGCGCAAGATTTGTGCTTGTTAACTCAGAGTTAATATTTTAAAATTTCCGGATGTGTGCAAAAGAATAAAAAGTATCACTGTGTCAGTACATACTACAAAAAGTTTATAGTAAGGCATGGATTAAGAAAATGAAACTATTCTATAATTGTAAAGTCATTATAAAATTGTACAATGTTCCTGAATAGTTTTCACCATAATTTTTTAATATGTACCCCAACTTAATTAAGATAAGCTATGATATGGCCTGTGGTTTCTGAAAGAAAATAAAGAAAAAAAGACCTCATATTCCCTCTTTAATTTTTGGCCCTAAAGTGCCTTTGTTTAAGATGCTCAGATGTGGCATTTAAGGGGGTCTAAATCCAAAAGAAAGCAGTTATTTGAGGCATGAAAAGTAAAGAAGAAAATAATTAAGATGTTACTCCCCTGGGGAAAATCTTGAGAGTAAAAGGGTGCTGAATGGAAAGCCACATTTCAAGTTAACATTAAGGGCTAATTTATTACGGGAACAATCAGAGAAGTTCTGCAAAGGAGTAAAGTCTAAAAATGTTTCTATCATTATCACATAATTTATCAATCACTAGTAAATTAAAATGAAAAACGGAGTTCTTAATGACTTAAGTTAGCAAACAGAAAATGACCTAAATATGAAGGTATTTAGAAAAAGAAAGTTGGCTTTTCGACTTCCTCTTTTTATCATTCTACAATGACTATATCAGTGTTGATTATCGAGTACCACAGACGGACTTCTCTTCTGAAGAGAAGTTGTACTTGGAGAAAAAAAAATCAATTCTGTATGAAGAACCTAGCAGACACTTTGTCAGAAGTTTTGACAAGGCAACAAGAAGTGGGGTTTCTGTGAAATCAGGGTAAGTCAAAATGAGGGAAATTCAAATTAGGAATGCAAACAGAGCTAAATATAAGTTCAGGTGAAGGACCGATGCCAATACATGGCTATTTCAGAGAAGAATGTGTGGGGAAATCATTTTAAAAGGTTGATTTAAAATGAGGAATCCATTTTTCCTGGGGAAAAAAGCAGACTTGTCCTTTCTGTAAGGCCTGGACCCTCCAGGCAAATGCCATCCTGAAAAAAATAAGATTTTCCTTCCCTCGGTCATCAGATTGTCCCTTAAATGAGTTGAAGATCACAAACCTTAAATCAGAAATAAAACACTGCAACTTTATTAGAGTGCAGTGATTTCACTTTATGAGCAAATGCCCTGTCTGAATTTTAAGTATGTGACTACAAGTTTCCGTGGGCATGACAGCCCCGCCGGAAGTGCTTGGCTGGCCCTCTATCTGGGAGAGCAGGATACAGAAATGCAGCCTGCTTGGTGCTGGCCCAGTCCTCCCTGCTGGGAGCTGAACTGCTGTCCCTCCCCTACAGCTAGAGGTGGGCCCAGTGCCTTTTATACCCTTGTGATGTAAATTAAACGGAGACTTCATATATGACAATTTCAAAGTATTTCAATACTTCTATTAATTTAACATGTTTATGGATCTACATATAAAGGAAATTCATATGACAGTGATAAAACTACCATTTTATCTTACCAATTCTTAACTGCATAAGTATTCTATAGTTATATTGTCATGAAGTTTTCATTCATTTTTAACTATAAGATAACCAGTTGCTTGTAGATTTCTGATCGGTCCTGGTCAAAATGCCTCCACATATTTGTGATGGCCAATTTAATTTTCTTCCTCCTTTTCAAATGCAGATTTAATTGTCCTAACAGTCATTTGTTTTATGAGTTCCATTGTATTTTGCCTTTCTTTTGGTTTAGAAAATATCATTTGAATTAGGAAAATGTTGTTTAATAAAAACGGGGATAGTATTTCTGAGATTTAAGTTAATACTGTTACTTAGCCACTAGGCTATGCTAAAGGATAGCCTATTTGTTCAAGAACACGGCTGTCTTCCAGCTACCTAAGAAAGCAGGCAAATTAATCAAAAGCTGGATATGAATTATTTAACCATTCAAAATCTAGCTGGTAATTCATTTAACAGATTTATAGGAGTTAGTTTATATAATTACTTTATATGACATACTCCAAAAGAATAAATGAACGCTTTTTAAAATGTATTTTACCAAATATGTCTTGTGGTAATGTCTAATTAGATTTTAAAATAATGAAATCATAATTATGCTTATTTTATCCAAATTAAATATTTATTTTCATTTGCATGTAGTTAATTCTATTTTTATAAACTATAATGTACACAGTCATGGACTGATTAGTTAACAGAAACATGAGATTTAAACCAGATATATATTTTTTTCTGCTTCAAAAACAGGTCATGTTAAAATGTAAACAGTTGCGAGCCAAACACCACTTATTTCACTTATCTTAGGCATTTTTCACATTAAATTTATACTCTATTCTGTATAAATTATGCTTATAACCCTTTCAGTTTCAGCTTACTTCCATCCCACTACTTTTCTCTGAAAACTCTACAGAGCACACTGCTTTCATGTTCACTATCATTATTCACATCTGTCCTTGATCGCACACTGTGGAGGCACTGGGGCTCAGACAGGTCTGAGAAGCTCAGCCTCTACCTGGGAACACATATAAAAATATAGATAACACTGATAAAAACATTTATTAGGGACAATACAGGGGCCACATGTGACAAATGAGTGAAACATAGAATAAGTGTTAAAACCGTTCACATGAGAAAGATATACATGTGCCTGCCATTTTAAAACAGAAAATAGGTTTCATGACTAAAGCCCAAAAGGATTTCAAAGGCTACTTCTGAAAACGCTCTGAAGATAAAGGCCCATAACCCTCCTATTTAATCTACTTGATAACTCTATCTGTAAGAGTTTGCCGTATTTTAAAGATATATTAATTTTAACTTGGGTTGTCTCTTTTTCAATTATTCATTATTCATCTGTTAATTATTCATTATAAGATGAATTATTGACAGACTACAATTCAGTCTGAAAGCACAGTGCTATTAATCTACTATGTGCTCCTATTCAATTATTGCTTTGGCATGTGATAGAGCACTTGGGAAAAAAGATTATAGTTAAGTTTCTCTTCTTAAATGTAATTAAGTTCAGTGAAATCTGTTTATGAAGCACCTCAGAAAAATATGAATACATTTATATGTAGGTCAAGTTATGTTTACTCATATACAACTGTACATAAGGGTGATATTACAAATATTTAAAACTTACCACCCAGGCAATGAGAGACCTGAACTGGTGGTGAAGCGCTATACTGTCCCCGCCCACAGGGATAAACCCTATTACAGCAATGCTGGAAGCTTCCAATTTGGTTGATCATTATCATTACACCCAACACTGGTATTAAATAATTTGTGAATGACCATTATAAACTATAATTAAGAATATTAAGAAAATTATAATATTCTTAATTATGCTACATCACTTTAGAGTAGTACTCAAACTCGCTAATCTTAAAGTTGCACCAAACTTGTCATTATCATCCGCAACTCCTTCCCACGTACATGCTCTGTCATGTGACATTATCATCTGCAACTCCTGCCCATATACATGCTCTGTCATATGACATTATCATCCGCAACTCCTGCCCATATACATGCTGTCATGTGACATTATCACCTGCAACTCCTGCCCATATACATGCTTTGTCATGTGACATTATCACCTGCAACTCCTGCCCATATACATGCTTTGTCATGTGACATTATCACCTGCAACTCCTGCCCATATACATGCTCTATCATGTGACTGGAATGCTTTTCCTCCCCACTGCCCACCTGCTGAATTAATACGTCAGAGTCCATCTCAAAGGTCAGCTGTCTTACGAGACTTTCAGGACTAACTGCAGCTGGAACCACACGGATGTCTCCCAGTTCTCAGTCCTCCCTGACAGCACTTACGACTCAGTGTTAGAATTACTTGTAGTGTTAGAATTAGCTTGAATCCCTGACGAGCCAGTTCTTTTAGGCCTCGCCTGGTACCTCACTGAGGTCTGTTCTGGTTTCAACAGAGTAAGTGCTCAAGACACACTGCTGCATCCATCACTGGTGAGCAGGCAGATGGGTGAGTGAGAGAATTCTAAATATTAAATCCCAGGACTTCCAACTGCATTATGAGCTGAGCCGCAGTCTTTACTTTGCATTACTACATTAAAGAGGCCATAATGGGAGCTACCCAGGTTACTGTTGCCCTCCGTGAGATTAGTTCTGCTTCTACATACACTGCCCACCCATTTAAGAAAAATGGTCACATTCCTTCCTAATGGCTAACACCCCTATGTTGGGATTTGGTTGTACTGAGTCCTGAAGTGTGAACCTGAGAAAGATCTGGGTTTTTAAAAAATCCGTTTTATTGCACTCATGAGTTCAGTCCTGTTACCTCACCAGCAACAAGGGGACATGAGCCCTGGCCGAGATGACTCTGCCCCATGGCAACCCCAGGAGGCAGTCCCCGCACTTCTGTTTCCTCCATGGATTGAGTTTTTCAATCCCACATTGGATCTCGCCTATCAAAACGTATACAGCCTCCTGAGTTATACCTGAACCACATTTTAGGTTTAGTATATTCTATGTAAGTTTATTCCTGGGGACGTGAATGTGAAGCTTGTCTCAACTAGTATTGTATCTTGAGAAGTATTACTTAGACATTATCTCCATATATCACTGTTCTTTATCAATATAAGTGATGTGTAATACCAATGCAATCAAGTGCCAATATTATCTTAGCAATGCAAACAGTTATATTGACTAAATAACCATATATACTTGGCTCTGAAGGTGTCCACAGGTTTAAAAAATTAAGTTAACCTATGTATGTCATTTGGGGGTGGGGGTAGAAATCCATGTAAAAGCGTGATATCCTGGCTCTCTCAGTAAATTTTCAAAAGTGATACACTGAAATGAAATCCAATAATTCAACAGAAAAAAAAATCAAGCATACACTCACCCACTATGTTTCATATGTGGCGGTTTATCCATTCGCACTGCCAGTTTGATTTTTAAGTCAGAATCCTGGCTATTTTTTGGAACTATCATTTGGTGCAACTCCGCTGACTTGGAGCTATTGGAAGTTGGGTACAATATCACCTGTAGGAGACAAAAAAAGAAAACATTTAAGTGCATAATACAAAGTGTCTAAGAGTTGGAACTGAAATCTTTTCTGTACGTTTTTCTGTTTGAAAAGCAGGTGCCATGCCAAAACCTGCCTAATACACCATTTCACTCCCACCACAGCAGACAGGTCCAACACAGACTCATTTATCTTTTGGGCAAATATGTGTTTTCATATTATCACATAAGTTTTCTTCTTGTCCTGGCCAGGTGGCTCAAATGGTTGGAGCGTCATCCCCTACACCAAAAGGTTGCTGGTTCAAATCCTGGTCAGGGCACATTACTAGTTTGTGGGTTCCATCCCAGGTTGGGGTGCATACTGGAGCTGGTCAATTGATGTTTCTCTCTCTCATATTGGTGTTTCTCTCTATCTCTCTCCCCTTCATCTCTTTCTAAAAATTAATAAAAACATATCCTCAGGTGAGGATTAAAAAAAACAACACAACTTTTCTTCCTGTATCACTTTATAATGAATTAATTGCACAATGACAACAGTTGAATTGACAGTTGAAAAATACTTAATAGACACCTATAATTTCAAGAACACTCTAAATTCCTCAGGGCAAAGTAGTTCAGAAAGAAATATGCTTTGAAATTACAGATAGCATGCTTAAAAAAGAAAAACCAATTATTTTAAGCAGCAAAAATACTCCTCGTGTTTTAATATTTTCACTGTGAAACAGTATTAAAGAAAATCAACTCAATTAGAGGTAGAAGAGACTGAGCATAGCACATTTTCTGCTCTAGGTCAATATCAAAGAGGAATTTTCCCCCCTGACTACATGTTTTCAAAACTATAAAGATGATGTTATAATGACTAAAACAAAGTAATTATTTTTGGTAAAACTGCCAAACCACGTGATTATTTCACAACACCAGAGGTCCACAGAGCCACCCCAAGAAAGAAAAACTTCCTCTTCAGATGTTAGGTGCCGAACAGATTAAACAATGCCTTTTCCCCTTTTCAGTCAGTCATGACACTATTTAGACACAGCCCAAACCCAAGCCTTCAGGGGTATTTTAAAATGGGAACACTAACTTCTGAAAGAAAACAATAATGACATGACATGCAGTGCACTGTGTTTTAAATAATTCCTACTTTAAACCAATGTGAAAAGTAAGTAAGCCTGAAATTTCTGTGTAAATGGAAGAATTCTAACATGCTCAGGTATGGTTCTATGGTGCTGAAGTACAACCTGACAGTTGAATTTGACATGCTCTGCCAAATTAAAAAAAAATCTTCATTTCTATGTATAAGTGGAATATTCACTGAGAAATCTTCCAGCGAGGCTCTTTTTCTCTCTAGGAAAGGCAACACAGTCCAAAAAGCTTCTCAAACTACTCTCAACTTCCAAGTTGTTAAATGTACCTACTATTTTGAGACTTTTCTTAAGCCTGTTCTAAAAGCCACAGCTAAATTGAATCCAGCATATTTGTACCCTTGAACATATAAAGGCACATCCAAGAACAGATTAAATGGCAATTGTGATGTTTTGAAAAATTATGATCATATTCTAGAATAAGTTCTTCTTTTGACTGTTAAAATATCCGATGTAATATTTTACAGATTCCTTCTTAAATAATAGCAAATGAAAGTAAGTTGAAACTTTTTGGCTCAAACCAGTAGACAAAGGGATAGCATTATCATTTAGAAGATGAGTCCTAAAAAGGATCAAAGAATAAGAGCTAGATATCCTCTGGAGCTATCGCTGCTATTGCCCCAGCCATTCCAGAAAGCTTTCCCCTCCCCTCCCCTCCCCCGCCTCTCTTTTTCCTTCCTTCCGTCCTTTCAAAGCATTTTGACATGAGACTTTATTTCTTTGTAATTCTCTTTTCTATGTTTATACAAAAGTTGGTTTTGTTCCAAACTCTAAAAGTCTTTTACAGGAAGCGAATATTTAAATTATAACTTCTGACAATTTCTCACTCTCTAAATGCCAATGATGGGTTAACTAAACAAGGTCCCAAAGTAACTAATTGCAGCTGAACCACTAATGAAGGATCATCCCAGGAATGAATGCCATAATTTCTGCCACATTTCAGCTCTCTGATGGGTAATTCTAAATGAAGTCAGTGGAAGGATTTGCTACTTAACTCTGTTCAAATAAACAAACATTCAAGTGCTCATGATGTGGAGACACACAAAGATGAAAAAAATATAAATGGCTCGGTCCCTCAAAGAGCTCTTAGCTTCTTATCAGAGCTAAGAGCTCAGGTAATATCTGGTAATATCACTTCCTCCTATGGCCCTTCTATCCCTAGGGGGTACAGCAGTTTTCTGATTTCATTAGTGTCTGAGTTTATTCACCATCATTTGTTTGCCTTCTCCATTCTATCACCTGTGTAGCTAATTCCTGTGTTAAATTTTCTCCATTGGAAAGACCTGGGATTATCTCGTTTTTCTGGACAGTCTCTGACTGATAAAGTTATAAACACTGGCACATGCAGCAAACAGGTTCACAGATACGACTTATTCCTACATATCACACATCTATTATTGCTAGTGTTTCTAAATCCACTGTTTCAAAAGAACTGTACTGGCAAATGAACCCCAAACGTAGCCTTAAGTATGTCCTGTAAAATGGCTTCCAGGTTCCCCAATGGCACCAGCAGAAAGTGGTCATCGTCCTTGACATGACGTAGCCACCGATGATAATAGGTCGAGGAAGAAGCTCTCACTGTAGGTAGCCCAAAGGGTCAAGCAGAATCAGGACAAAGGAGTTCTTCAATCAAGTGAACATGAACATGGCCAGGGTGTCCTCACAGTGCCTGCCACTGACAGTTATCCCGATGCCTTTCCACTTCACCACTATTCAAACGGGAACCTTAACTGCCACCCTCCTGCCCCCGCTTCACTGCGGTGTATTGGATTTGTGCTCGGACAGGCGGGGAGGGGAGGTGGAGCAGGGGGCTGTTGACTTGAACTTCAGTGCTCAGGTCACGAGGCTGCAAAGAGCCCACAGCGGGACCGAGGGAGATGTTGGACTTTGGACTGGATGTAAGGACCGGAAGAGACCCTGGGTTGTTTCCCTTGAGTTGAAGCAAACATGTGTGTAGGAGAAAGGGTAACACGGTTGTCATCCCTGGCAATAGGGATAAACTACGGCAGGTCATCTAACTGGCTACCGGGACTCACGTTCCCACTCGTGTAGAACTGCTGCTGGGAAGCACAGAGGCAGCGAGGACCACATTCTCCAGCTCCCCTTGCATCTGAGTAGGGACATGGTTCTAGCTAACGGAATCTGAAGAGAACTGGTAAGTGTCACTCTGGGGAAAGATGATTAAGATACAGATATACCTTCATCCTTCTTTACTAAACTGCTAGCCAAATGCAGAGGACTCCGATGCTCAGGGAAGGGAGCGCCATAAAATGGAAAACCAGAGCCCGGGTCACCCACCATGTGAAGGAAATCTACCCATCTGGCAGGTGCACCCATACTAACCTGCTACATAGGCGCTATTGTTTAAAACATCTGCAATGATGCCATTTCTTTGTTATAGCATTTGGTAGAATCTTCACTAGTACATTAACGGAGTTTTGCTTCATAAGTCTTTTACAAGTAAATAAGTGCCTGAAGAATTTTATTTAATAATAAATAGTTCTGTTTCAAAGGACTTAGTTCATGTTCAGAGAGGTGTCTCTGATGTTGATTGTACAATTAAAATATTTAACATAAAAATTTACTAAGGATTCTTCTGTATTGTAGGTTTGCATCTAAATTAAATTGTATCTCTGTACAAAATAGCTTCTTATATTACTTAGCAACACAGTTTTTTTTCTATCCTTTTATCTTAACCTTTCTATTCACACTCAGTCTTCTATTTTATTTTTGTCAGCAACACTTTAAATGTCTTGTCACTTAGCATGACAACACATTTTATGATTTCTTATCTTAAATTGAAAGCCAATGTATCTTCTTCATAATAAAATGTCAACACTGCTTGTCATCTTTGCTAAGGTGTAATGAAAAATATCAAATGGATTTTTAGATTTTATTTAAAATTCTGTCAAATTTAATTTACAGGGAGAAAAAAACTTAAAAACGAAGTGTAAGTATATGCATATTCATAATATTTAGAGCATATGGGGTCCAGAAAGATCTTTCTCTTAAAAGGAGACTTATGTAATACATTAAGCAATAAAATATTTAAATTTATGTTGTTCATTATATTCCATAAATGAGTGAGATCATGTCATATTTATCTTTCTCTACTGGCTTATTTCACTTAGCATAATGCTCTCCAGTTCCATCCATGCTGTTGCAAATGGCAAGAATTCCTTCTTTTTTACAGCAGCATAGTATTCCACTGTGTAGATGTACCACAGTTTTCTAATCCATTCGCCTGCTGATGGGCACTTAGGCTGTTTCCAAATCTTAGCTATTGTAAATTGTGCTGCTATGAACATAGGGGTACATATATCATTTCTGATTGGTGTTTCTGTTTTCTTGGGATACATTCCTAGAAGAGGGATTACTGGGTCAAATGGGAGTTCCATTTTTAATTTTTTGAGGAAACGCCATACTGTTCTCCACAGTGGCTGCACCAGTCTGCATTTCCACCAGCAGTGAAGGAGGATTCCTTTTTCTCCTCATCCTCTCTAGCACTTGTCGTTTGTTGATTTGTTGATGCTAGCCATTCTGACAGGAGTGAGATGGTACCTCATTAATGAACAAAAATAGAACAAGAGACATAGAAGCATCGAACAGACTATATAACCTATGAGGGGAGGGAGGGGGTATGGGGGTAAGAGATCAACCAAAGGACTTGTATGCATGCATATGAGCAAAACCAATGGACACAGAGAGTAGGGGGGTGAGGGCTTCTGCTTGGGGGTGAGGGTGGCCAGGGAGAGGTCAGTGGGGGGAAAAAGAGACTCCTGTAATACTTTAAACAATAAAGAATTTAAATTAATATAAAAAAAGAATTTAAATTTAATAAATAAATAAAGTGGGGTGAAGTAAAAAATAAAATAT